TGTCAGCCAACACCCCCAGGTCCTTTTCCACCAGGCAGCTCTCCAGCCACTCCTTCCCAAGCCTGTAGCATTGCATGGGGTTGTTGTGACCCACGTGCAGGACCTGGCACTTGGCCTTGTAGAGCCTTCTACAATTGGCCTTAGTCCATCAATCCAGCCTGTCCAGTTCCCTCTGTTGAGCCTTCCTACCCTCAAACAGATCAACGCTCCCACCCAAGTTGATGTTATCTGCAAACTTACTGATGGTGCACTCAATCCCCTTGTCCAGATCATCGATAGTTATTTAACAGAGCTGGTCCCAACACTGAGCTCTGGGGAACACCACTTGTTACCCGCCACCAACTGGATTTAACTCCACTTACCACAACTCTTTGGGCCTGACCATCCAGCCAATATTTTACCCTGCTAAAAGTATGCCTGTCCAAGCCCTGAATAACCAGTTTCTCCGAGAGAATGCTGTGGGAAATGGTATCAGATCAACAGGGTGAAGCTTGAGCTAGACATTACTGCTGGTGGCTTCAAGTAAAGATCATCGCATGAGTTTACAGTCTTCAGTTGCAGGCTTGCGTTTGCATCCTGCTAAAAAGCATGTCAAACACATGGTAGAGGGATTTGTTTAGTCTTGTGTTTCGTTTCCCTTTGATGGAATTTTGCAAAGAGATGTTGTGCAGTTGCTTGCTATCTGCATGCTAATCTGTGTCAGCCCCCAAAGCATGCTTCTGGGTTGTGCCCTTTGGAGATCAAAATCACAAATTGCCTAGCGAGTTATTTTCTTTCGTATAATCCTATGCATAGAGGAAGTTAATTCCTGTCAAAAAGGAGGCCTTTCTTTCCTGTTATGGAAGAAGCACTTCTTTATTAACCTCCAGTAGATTTCTATAGAGCAAATTCTAAAGCCTTCAGAAACGTTCAATATATCTGCAGTGTTTACTAAGATAGATGCTTTTGCTTGAGTGATGCTGCCTTATATCATGTTCTTGAGATTAAGTGCTTTTCATTAATGCCAAATCTAGGTGAAGATGTACTTTGTGCTTAATTAGACTTTATTGCCAAAATAATTTTTAGACTTATCTCGGAAGTCTACGTGCATATCAAGCAAATAAACTAAGAAACGTATTTGCAGATACAGCAGATCAACTTGCTTAAGTACAAATTAAGTACACACCCACTCTGTTGTAGTGTATCCTACTTGTAGGTTGCAGCTACTAAATGTAATGCTGAGAATGACCATAAAACTTTGATTCTGTTGACTCATTCATAATTTCTAAGACTAGGAAAGCAGCTAGGACATAACTGAGTGGAGGCAGAGAGGCCAGTCAAAACCAAATGAAGAGATTCTGACTCATTCACAAGATGTTCTAGTTCTTTGATTTATACTCTTTATTTTTCTCTTGTGCTGCATCATTTCACTGTGTGCTTGGATCAGCAGCATGTCTTTCCACAACCTTGCAGTAAGCTAGACTTTTAATCATTAACACTACTTCTTCAGAAATTCTTTCCAAGCAAAATTGTTCGAATTGCAAATGAAAATAAAGGTGGACAATAATGGAGGCACAACTGAGTTGTGAATACTGCCATCCAACCTACTTAATTTTTGTCTGATTAAGATAGAAAACTTGTACTGGAATTCAGTTATATGTTGTGCTGATGTGGTCAAAATTGCAGCATTTTTAGATTAGCATCACTGCTACAGATAAGAACTTTTTTATTTGATTAGTAGTTAATTATTATTTTTTTGTGTGACTTATTTGTATAGCCTGAAAAAGTTTTAAATTCTCTCAATTATTTTCTAGATACTTGTATGTTCCTGTAGCTTCCAGGAAGAATTTGTGTGTAAAATGTGTTTTACAGAGATTTGTATTTGTCTTCATCTATAGCCATTTATGTAAACGTGTATCACAGCATACTTTTCCTTCATTGTTCTACAGGTTAATATCTGCTGGAGCTACCAAAGTTTATGCCATTCTTACTCATGGCATCTTTTCTGGTCCTGCTATTTCTCGGATTAATAATGCATCGTTTGAGGCTGTTGTGGTAACTAATACAATCCCCCAAGAAGAAAAAATGAAACATTGCCCAAAAATTCAGGTACAGTGGTGGTTTTGTGTCATCTGTTTAAAGTCTGTATTTATATTTAACTGTTCATTGATGGTAGAATTTGAGCCTTGAGAGGAAAATGATATTCAAAATACACTGTGCAGCTTTGTTTACAGAACATCTTGCTAAAGCATGCCAAAGAACTGTTTTAAGGAGATTCTGTTAGTACAATAGAGTATTGCAAAATATTTGGTATTTGCAACAGATTGAATGTGCCTGACTCTGGAAAAAGTGGCAAATGTAAAATTGGCGGGGGTTTTTTGGTTGGTTGTTTTTTTTAATCAATATTAATCATCCAAACCTGTATGTAGGAACTTAAGTTAGCTATGTTATTGTGGGTGCCACAGAAATCTCAGACAACTAATTTTTAAAATACACTAATGAAAATGCTCAAGATAATAACGACATATGTTTCTCTTCAAACTGAAAATACAAAGCTGAGTTATGTCAGTAGATTTTATGTGAGATTCTGGGAATTCATGTGTCTATTTTGGAGTTTTTCCTTAGTAGAATGGAGGAAAGCATAAACTTTTTTTTTAGTGCAGTGTTGAATTTTTAAAAAGCTTAAAATTTATTTGGTGTTTATTGAATCAAAGCAAGTGCTTAAAGGGTATATTTCCCTCAAACTGTATTTTTGTCAAGTGGACACTGCCATCTGATGGCTAGAATAATTTATTTTCAACAACATACCCTGTGCCAGAAGTCTTCAGCAGCATGCCTGTGCAGCAATCTTATTCAATGCTTTCTTACTCAGTTTTTGAGTTTGTACCTTGTATTAATGCAGTTCTTATGTATATGTTAAGTACCTTGTCCTTTAATGTTATTTTGCTTTCTAGAAAATATAAGAGAGCACAATGGTAAATGTGAATATTTTTTCATATGCTTATAAACTGTATAGCTTATTCACCTTGGCATCCCATAAAATTTATCTTCTTGATTTTTTTCCTTCAGTTTATTGACATTTCCATGATCCTGGCTGAGGCAATTCGAAGAACACACAATGGTGAATCTGTGTCTTACCTGTTCAGTCATGTCCCCTTGTAACTGCAGAAGATTACATCTCATCTTTGCCAAGGTCCCTTCAACTAGCACTGTTGTTTTTAACAACACATTTCAATCACAAGAAATTAGTATCTTTGTACAATTCCAGAGCTTGTATGTTTAATTATTACATTTGTCTTGTAATTACCATTTGTTCTTTGTAAATGGGCAATAAATCCCCTTCTTGCAGAAACTTTATGAATTCTCTTGACAGTCTGGAATTCTTGTGCATTACATAAGTTTTCTTTTATGTGTGCCTATCCTCACTTTCTGCTAAACTGCTGCTTTGGGTCTGTTTTTCTATATAGAACTACAAACTGTTCATAGAACTTAATGGGATGTATGCATGTAAGATCATTTTCTGTGTTAAGCTAAATGCTGCAGGCTTGGGTATCTTGTATCTATTCATCCCTTAGGCAAGCAGCTGTTGGGTTTTGTTTTGTTATGTTTAACTGCCATGAATAGCATTTTGTAAGCCCTAACAGAATGTAAACTTCATGTTAATTTTGAGGAACTGTTGTCACATCCATAGTATTAACTGTATTTCATACACTTCATGTTCTTTTTTCCACAAGATATGTCTGCTGTTTTCTTTTGTAAAGCTCTCATTACATTAAATCATTTGCTTAACATCTATTCTGTGCAGTTACTGTCTTCAGTTGTAAGATTAATGTTTCAGTATTCCTGGGATGATTCATTTCATGTGTTTCAATAATAAGGACCCATCTTTAATCATAAGCGGTTTGGTTTACATTTCATGTTTTCCCCATACTTTGTGACATTCCTTGGTTGTGATCATATGAATCATTTCATAGCAGTTTTCCTGTTAATACTGTAAAGCCTTCACTATGAAAAGTCTAAACAGCAAATATAAACACACATATTTATATAAGCTGGTCTCTACTCACACTTAGTTGATTAAACCCAAACTGCACAGTCAATAGTGCTTCAGGTTTCTATTAAAGTACTGTGGTACTCTACTGTGCAGCCATTGAATTATGGTAGACTAACTAGTCTTGAATACTTTTACATTAGAGAATTAAAATCATAATGAAAACAGTTCTGCCTCTTGTATGCTGAGAAAGCTTGTTGCTAAGTACTGATAATGCAATCAGTAATAGATTCTGGGGGGGAAAAATACCCATTTTCAGTAATTTTAGGTCTCTGAATCCTTCTATGGAGTGTTTTCAGTCTTCCTGCTAGAAAGGAAGAGCTTGTGTGTACTAAGATAGTGTTCTTGCACCTAGATCATGGGAAACTCAGTTCCCTACCTGAAATTGCAGTTGTTAATTAGAAAAGCATTTTCCATGTTTGAGTGATGCTTCTTAACTGTGGAGCTGCATAAAAAAAATAGCTTTATTTCATTCTACCTTGCTTATTCTGGGATATATTTATAATGAAAAAATGTTGTATTACAAAATTAATTTTTTCCATTCCATTTTAGATGGTCTCCAGACATTCTTCTCTTGGTTTCTCTGAGAATGAATCTGTTTTGTCTTTATAATTTTTTCCAAGTAATTTTCTATTTCTTCTTTGGTTTTCTTTCCTATATGAAAATAAATAAAACAGAATTTTGCCTGTGCTGCTTTCAGCAATGAATACAGAAATGGTGTATACAAGATACTGTGGTGAGAATTCAGTTCAGCCGCTAGTTCTTGGAGTAATTTTCATTTCAGATGAATTTTCAAAACTACATTATAACACAATGGAAATTAATTTACATTATTGTTTTATTAGATAAAGGAAGTTTTAAAATATAAGATTATTTAACCTATTGCCTTAAAAATATTGCTTCACAGTTATTAACCCCAAGTCTGGCCACATAATTGTACAAAAATTTAGACCTTTTTACTATGTAAAAGGTATGCAATACGTTTAAGGCACGCTGTCGATTCAGTTGCTTTGTAGATCAGATCATTGTTACAAATAAAATGCTGAATTCTTTGCCTTTCCTGTGCATAAGTATTGTAAATAAATCTTGAAAATGACTTATGCTGAGGGATTGATTGTGGTTTTGTTATTTTGATACTTTTTTTTTTTTTAGAGACCATGCCCTGAACAGATCAAATACAGGAGAATGATTCTCATGCAAACCTTGCTCATAAGTAACGTTCCAGTTGTCTTGGACATAATGATAAACTGTTAATCACACCAGACTGGTACACATATTTATAAGATCATCCTTCTCCATTTTATGGTCTGACAAGAAGGACAGAATGTTTATATTTCATTGGGAGTTTGAGTTAACACTTTATAAGTAACTGACATTCCTGTTTCTCAGATTGTTTTAAGTAAAACCACTCAACTGTATTAAACAGGATGAGACAGGGGAAAGAGCAGAAGGAAAATACAGAATTAAGTTAAGTTTACTGTGTCTGTCATATTTTGCACTCAAAATGCTTATGAATAGTTATTGGTGAATTCTAACAGCTCTGTGAAAATCCCATCCATTTTGACAGAATTAAAAGGTGTGGAAACAAACTTGTGAGGTGTTTGCTATTTAATGCTGTACACTCCCTGGCCTGTTCTGGGACTCTGGGCTGAAGATCAGATGACAGTTCAGCCTGGAGGGAAACTTTCTTTTCTCAGCAGCATTATTTTGAAATAAAGGAAATACTGCACTGTGCAGCAGAACTTGGATGTTTTAGTTTATATTTATCTACAAATCTTATTTTGGCTCATTCTATTGTCCTAGTGGAAGTAGAAATTTTTGGCTTTCTCAGTAAAAGTACTTGAAGTTTGCAGCCTTTTTGGAAACTCTTGCCATGGACTCTGGGATTTTTAAATGTCAAAAGCTCGGAGTCTGGTGCTCAGGCACACTGGAGGGAATCCTGAGCATGTTTTCACTGGGCAGGTCCCTCTTGGAGTTGTTTGTCAGGTGTCAATTGCAAATGCTGGTGCTCTGCAGCCTCTTGTGTGGTGGCTGACCCCAGCTGGCAACCAAGCCCCCACCCAGCCAGGTTGGAGAGAGAATTGGGAGGGCAGAAGTGAGAGTAGCTCATGGGTAGAGATAAAGACAGGTTAATAAATGAAGAAAATAAAAGCAAATCGTGAAAAAGCAGTCACTCACCTGTGTTGTACTGAACTTGTAAGAAAACATCAAGAAGTGGAAAGAGAACAAAGGACATTGAAAATAGCAAGTAACTGAGCTCAGGAGCTAGCTTTCCTCTTGTTGGATCGGATTGCTTGTTACCTGGGAGAAGAGACTCCCCCCACCTTGCCATAACCTCCTTTCAGGTAGTTGTAGAGCAATAA